CCCCAAAACCCCAAAACCCCAAAACCCCAAAACCCCAAAACCCGGTGAGAATATAGCAGTATGACTGAATTATCAATTTTATATAAGTAAATAGGAGAGGGCTAAATTGAGACCCCTGTTTGGGGTAGGGGGTCTTAATAATCAAAGAAGAAGAATATAAATGTATTATAAAGAAAACATTATAAAGAAACAATAAATATTATAAGCGCCTTGATTAATTATCGTTTGTGGAACACAGAATGAGTAACTCTTTAAACCTACCTCAGGGTCTAATATCCCAACATAATACTATCGCCAACACTGATGAATTGCAAAAGATGATGAACTAGTATCAATAGAAGACTGCTGGTGGTGCCAATTTCAATGGCGGTCATATTTCTCAGCATTATAATCAAGACTAAGGCAGTGGTTTAGGCCAAAAGAACCTTTCAGCTGACAATAATGAGTCTGAAGATGGTAATAATTAGGAAAAGTTAATTTTTTAGCAAAATCAAAACGTCGTTCAAAGAATGATGTTGATGGAAGAGACTTCAAATGCAAGTATTGCGACAAGACGTATCTTAGCTATCCCGCACTATACACCCATATGAAATAAAAACACTCAAAGGGGCCTGATGGCGAGGTTCGTACACCACCAACTAGTGGGAGAGGTCGTGGAAGACCTAGAAAAAATGTAAAATATTGAATTTCTTCTAAAATTTCTTAGCCTTATTAAAGAACTGATCCAAAGAGTGAGGAATACTTTAATGCTCCTGAGAGAAAAGGAGGTCCCACTGATGTTCTCAACCACTTTGACTAAGTCTATGATTAACTCTTTAAAGGAGACAAAAACTACAAAACTTTCTCTGATTATCCAATTTACAAATAACTGGTCTAATTTTCAAATAAATAAGATTCAAAGGGACATGGCGGCAGATAAGATGATGGAGTTAGCAATCCTAATGGGTAAGTGCTAAAATCTGTCTAAACTTCTGTATTTAGAGCTAACGAAGAAGAGAAACTAGCCAACTCAGGCAACCAGAAAAAATGGCAAAGAAACTACGAAAACTTGAATGATAATGATAGATAAGCAATGTATGTAGATGAAATTTTCGCACTTTATTTGTTTAAGATCTCTTAAAAGGTAAATGATGCCTTTTATAAGATTGTGCTAACTTATGTGATACTATTCAGAGAATGCTTGAATGAGATCGGCTGGTAAAAGAAAATCGAAAGCGAGGGCATTAAGATTGAGGAAGATGAATCCTTAAGACATAAGATTCAAACAGATCAGTTCTGTTTAGTAAACAATGCTGAGCACGCCCCAGAGATTTGCAATGAATTCGTTACTGTATACATGGAACAAAAGAGAGGAAGCTTTGAGATAACCAAGCCTGATCAGATAGATCTCACAATAAACCTCTGTCACTGGCTATTTGAGAATCAATTCACTTGTTCAAAACTAACTATGATTTCATGAATTAGATAAATGAGATTTATAGATGTAGTCTCCCAGGATCCTTTTGGTCTTGTCATTTAATTATTGTATTCTTTTGTAATAAATTTCTCCATTAAAAATGTCAGTCTATTCATCATTTTTTATTTATCTAAAAATGCACAATTTTAACTTTATGGGGTTTTGGGGTTTTGGGGTTTTGGGGTTTTGGGGTTTTGGGG